TCCATATTGCCTCCAGGATGGACACCTGCCACTTACAAACCTTATACAGCTTGTTCGTGGCCCAACTTGTCCCAGGGCTGTTTTCAGCTTCCCGTTAGGGGGCAGTTTCATGAGTCACTGACTTTGGTGGAATGAAGTCCAAACACCCACCACTTTGCTGTTTTGGGGTCCCTCTGGCTTCACTGTAGGGGCTATTCACAGTTGAGACGCTGCATAATAAGTCCACTGGGCCAGAATTGGAAAATCTCATTTGGCCTTTATCACATTTTGCCTTCGAGAGTCTATGAAATGCTGTTGCCCTGTGCATTAATTCTCCTGAGAAGGGTCACAAAGACTGTTTTTTGGAAGTGACAGCTTCACACTCATTTTTATTATTTAAAGGTTAGGATGTGTTGTCTAGCCTCTAGCCTGCAGAACCAAGAAAGTTTAGTTTGGTATAATCAAAGTAAATCCCAAAACACAGGAATGAAAGTATCTAGTGTCAGGGGTCACCAAGCAGCCGCCCTGTGCAGCAGCCTCTGTCTGCGTTCCGTGCCCATCATCCGCTTTTCTTCCCTCCTTCCTTCACCCCAGGAGAAACCTGGCAGTGGGACTGTCCTACCTCCAATGAATTCTCGACAGTTATTCAGAGACAGTTTGATAAGCTGCCTCGTGACCCTCCTCTGTCCTTCCCCATTGCCCTCTGGCCATGTCACTGTTCCTTTGCATCCAATTAAGAGGATGCACAGAGGCAACAAAAAGATAGAACCTCAACTGCAGAAGATTCTGCTTCTCATAAAGGTCCTGTTAAGAGATCTGCTGGAACCAGTGGTCGTGGCACTGCTCATCGGCCGGGAGGCCTGAGGCCTTCATTTGTCCCCGGCTAGCACACCATCACCCTTGACTCTCACATCTGAAAGACGTTTCAACTGTTTTAACTAGACCAGTAAGAAATATGTCCCCCTGCCAGTGCTTGCAAATTTTCAAACAAGTATCCTATTAGGGAGGGAGGGCCCTGGGAAAAACTGCTAATAAGATGTCATTTGTCTGCTGCTTCCCGTTCTGGAATCCTTTCTTCCATGTTGGCTGCATCCCTCTGCTCATCAGCCCATATCGCATGCATCTGTTCCCATGGCAACCCGGTCAAGCTGGCTGCTTCCCGTTCTGGAATCCTTTCTTCCATGTTGGCTGCATCCCTCTGCTCATCAGCCCATATCACATGCATCTGTTCCCATGGCAACCCGGTCAAGCTGGCTATGTTTCCACAAGGGTTTCTGGAATATGAAAATCATGAAGCCTTCCATTTAATTGTAGAACTTCAGGTACTATCTAAGACCTGAGAGAAAAGACAGAAATCCTCAATAACATCAGCCATGTAGCCTGGTTTTAAGACTAACGTTCAAAACCCGCTGATGCTTGTTCATATTAATTCTATTTACAAGGAGGCAAGGTTTTACAATCAAGTGCACTGTACTATGAAACAGTTCATATCATTCATTCAAGTAGTATTTATTGAATTCCCCCTAAGTAGATGGTCCTATCGTGGTATGCTTAACTGTAATTAAAAAATAAAAAGTATAAAAATACAAAATTTAAATATGGTAGAATACTTCCAACTGAAGCAGCTTAGTTTCCAATACTAATTTAAGACCTCAGCAATGTTCCCTACCACCTACCCCTCCACAATCAACTCCTTATTTCTCAGTCCTACCCACCTACCAATCACATGTGGCCATGAGCACTGAAATGGAGAGTTATTGCAGCTGAACTTATAGAATAAATGTGCAATCTCAGCTTTGAACTGCAGCACGTTTGGACTCTGAGTAATAGTCAGAATTTGCTCACAGAATCTGTAATTGCAACTGTTATCTATGACATTCTTTGCTAGGCTGTGTAGCTTCTTCAGCAGGATCCATATGCCAGGCAAGTTGCAAGGCCACCTGTGTTGCCAGCCTCACAGCACACACGACTTCTCACATTCTCACTGACTGCTAAGCCTTTAACTGTATACTCTGTCTTTTCTATTCAGATCTAGGTAGAAACTTGTTTGCCAAAAAAGGCAGATAATCAATGGTGTTTTTTGCATTTACCAAAAGGAGGATAAAAAAAAATTTCAGTGGCAATAAAAGCAAAATGTTGCTCTCCATTCCCTTTGAAAACCCTTCAGGATCTGAGGGCTGTGGCTTTACTAGCTTTTAGCACTTTTGGAAATTGAAAGAGAAGAGTCAGGTAAAAACGTTATCACAAGATCAAGGTAAGTGAATTTTCTGAATGGGAAGATTGACTGTGTGATCTGTGATCGTCTTCTGTTGTGATCCCAGAAATGATGAAATCCCACACTGTGGAATAGTTTCCTTACCCAATAATATTGACTTATTGACAATTTTAGATTTCTGTTTTAAGACACATTATTAGTTCCCTACTGTATTAATATTGACTTATTGACAATTTTAGATTTCTGTTTTAAGACACATTTGCAACTCTAAGAGAACAAATACAGTGATTTGGGATTTACAATAGGAAGTTGTGACGATTTACATCTGAAAATCCCCTTCACCTCTGCCATATACATTTCTTTCCATGTAAGAGAGCATATGTCTTAGTTTGAAGTAATGAAAACATAAAAGGAACGTGATAATTTCTGCAAAATAAGAATGAGCTAACAGTGCACGATGGTTTTGAGTAATCTTTCTCCTATTATGCTTCTCTCAATATCTTGGTGGTTGTCTGTGCTGTAACCAACCAGCCTGAAGAAAAGGACTCCCCCCGCTCAGAAGAGGTGTCCTCACCGCACCAAATGAGAAGCCTCAGCTCCAGGGATTATCCTGACTAAAGCAACAAGATTGTAAGTTTTACTGAAGGAGGGCAGACATTTAAAAAAAGGTCAGCAGGCTGTGAGCTGTTGACTGTTTTGTAAATAAAGTTTGCTGAAACACAGACTTGCCTATTTGTTGATGTATTTTCTCTGGCTGCTTTCACGCTCCGGCAGCAGAGTTGAATAGTTGCTGAGCAGTTGCAAAGCTCCCATATGGCCTGAACTATTTACTATCCAGTCCTTTACAGAAAAATGTTTGCTGACCCCTAGTTTAAATCATTCACACTCCACAGTTAGACTACCTTTGAAGAGCAAAGCTAGCGGGCAAAGAGGAAGGTAGGAAATGCCCTTCACTGAAATTATGTTAACTATATGTTTTCATACTATCCTAATTTGCTATCAATTGTGACAATGTCAAGAGGGACAAGTAACGTTTACTAGGAATCTACAGATTCTGGGCACTGCGTTAGGAAGCTTCCATAAAAGTGGTCGTTTCAATGGATTACTTATGTCAAGGAAATTTAGGTTTCCTGGAAATGGGATTTTAGGGAATAACAAAAACAAGCAAACCAACATGCTCACCAAGCACTCAGGTTTTATGAGCCCAGACACAAAAGGTGGGTAAACTTAGTCTCCCGGTTTTACATGCATTTTACCTGCTGTGCAAGGTCAGAAACTGATGACTGTAGACACATTCATTGTCTTAGTGCATGTAAATTCTCTCATATATGCCGCAAATGGAGAATAAAACGGAACAAGGCAGGACCGTGCACATAGATATTTTGTGGCAACTATTTTTTTTTCTAAATGATGACTTAAAAATAAGCTTTCATAACCAGAACAGAATAGAGAATTATTCGCATTTGTAGAAAAAGAAACATAGGAATGGTATGTGATGGTTTTAGGCAGACTGGCAGCAGAAACAGGACTGCCATGCAAAACTTTTTAGTTCCTACCCAATGCTCTTTTTTTACTAAATTGTTTTCTGGGTTAATTTTTCTTTCTTATCCCCATTTTGATCAGAAACGGAACTTGACACAGTCATGGTGCTCATGGGTTATATATAAGACGTCTCATCCTTTGTCAAAGTTGCTGGGCAACAGTCAACCTAATTTTTTCCTTGCATGCTCATACATGTTTGTATTCTTTCATTTTCAATACATGCCTTTTCAAGAATGTATCTATCCTTTTCAGGCCTGCCTGCCTGTCTGGCCGCTCCTCTCTTAGCCTGACTGCTTTCTAGTTGGGCCCTTCATTCCTGGATTCTGGATCCCTTCTGAAAGAGGGAGTAGCATTCCATCCTTTCCTGGCAGACATCTACCCTCCCTTTCAGAGAAAAGAGGGTCAGGTAGGATGTCTGTGAACAGAAAGAACAAAAACTGGAAATGACAGAGAAAGGCACAGAGTAAGAAAGTAAGGCTTTGCCTCAAAAGAAAAGGTAAATAAAATGGTTTCTGGCAAAACGTGTCTTTTCTATTCATTCTGGGGCCACTTGCCAATGCCTTCTCTCTGCTAGTTATCCCTCCAGTGGAGCCCAAACCTGCCTGTGCACACCTGCCGGTGTGGCTCTGGAGAGCATCACCCCTGCCTTTTCCAGTCTAAAGTAATAAAGCCCATTATGAAGCACTCTCTCTATTCCACTCTCAACTACAATGTAATGAGGACTGACAACTGTAGCAGCATCCTCATTCAAAGTGTCTAGGTAACCTTTTGCTTATTTAACGCCTTCTGGTTTCAGACCTGAAAGTTATCATCCTCAAATTTCTCTTCTTTGTTTTGTAGGCTGAGCATGTCCCCATTAAGGGTTAAATAATGCTTAAGGTTACCTGATGGTAGGAAGGAGGTGGGAGAAATTTACTTCTCTGTTTCTGTATCACTGGCTTAAGACTGTGCTCTGATCACTCACAACCACCAAGATGACAGTCTAAGCTCCCATTTGGTGACCCAACTGGCAAACCTGGAGATGGCAGAAGAACCAAAATACAGCTTTTCCATAATGTCCCCAAAGGTAGAGTGGGGTGGCAGGAAATGCCACGTACAGTGTCACATTCTTGCTCTGTTCCCACTTAGTGAGACTCCATATGAAATATGACCAGAGGAATCCATAAAGATAGCAGGGCCCAGAAACCACATGGTTATGCCCAGCCCACTTTATTTTTCAAAGTTCTCTCAGTAAAATTGTTTTTCACAGGTTGCCCCCAATTACCTGTTGATGCTGTTCTTCTGTGCTAACATCTGCCAGTCCTTGCCTTTGGCATTGGGGGTATCAAATGTAGCACAAATCCGCTGTCTGATGGAGTAGGGAATTTTGAAGGCTTTGGGGCCAGTCTGTGCAGGAAAAGCGCTGTCCTCTTGTGCAAAAAAAGTGATGGTTTCTCTTTCACTCTACACACAAAATAAAATCACGATCAGATCAAACTGAAAGCATTACTGATCCACACTTTATTTTTAAAGGAAATGTGTGTTAACACAGGTGCACAAAATGCTTGCCTGTTGTGACAGACTCTAGAAAATATATCAACAGGTTCCCCTCTCTTCTAAAATAATAAAGAACTTCTTTAGTAACCTAATAAATTGTATACTGGAGATTTACAGCAGCCTCTTCCATTTGGGAGTCACAACCACCAGCTTTCAACACCCAAAGAACTGTCGGGTAAGAGCAGAATTAACTTCTTTTTTTTTTTTTTTTTTTTTTTTGTGGCTCTCAGGGATAGATCTAGAATCAACAGGAAGAAGCTACCAAATGATAGATTTCAGTTCAGTGTAAGGAAAGACCCTCTAACAGTCATAACTGACCCCAGATATATGGGCTATCAGAGAAGCTGGCTGGGACGTGTCCTGTCCAGAAAGCTAGAGGGTTTGATTGTACGCTGATTATCTTAAAATTTGCTTTTCCCCCAGTCCTAAAGTTGTATGATTTTACAGCAAATATTTTTTTCTTCAGAATTAAGTGGCCTTGGTAAAGCAGGCCAGCCATGACTCAGAGATGACACCTAGGCTAGCCCGTGCCGTGGTTTGGGCTGGAAGGCTTCTGCCTGCTGTCTGCCTGCCCTGCTTCTAATTCAGAGCTGTCCAATGAGGATCTGTTATTTCAGTACATCACAGCAATTCTATCATCACATCCAACACGGAATCACTCAGGAATCTGTCAGAATGCAGTGGTTGCTGATAAGTTTATAGGATTAGCCGAATTGGACTGGAAAATGTCTGAGTGAATCACTCTCATGACTCTGACTAAGACCAAAGGGATTCTGCTGATGTGATTAAGGTATCTAATCAGTTGACTTTGAATAAACTGATTTTCCTGGGTGGTCTGACCTAATCATGTGGCTCTCACAAGAGAGAAGAGAGAGCTCTTGCCTGGAAGCATCTCTCTGCTGGCCTTGGAGGAAGACAGACAACCATACTGTCAACTGCCGGTACAGGGGCCTCTAGGGTGAACCTGGCCAGCAGCCAGCAAGAAAATGGGGACTTCAATCCTATAGCCACCAGGAACTGAATTGTGCCAACAACCTGACAAAGCTTGGAAAAGGACTCTGAGCTCCAGAAGAGGATGTGTCCCGGCCAACCCCTGCTTTCAGCCTTGTGAGACGCTGACCAGAGCCTGCACTTCTGACCCACAAAAGCTATGAGATGACAAATGACTGCTGCTTTGTGCTGTTAAATTTGTGATTTACTATGCAGCCAAAAAAATCTAGTACAAGGATTAAGCATCAGGTCTGAGACTGGGTTAAGGGATTAATCAGGACTGTTTAAAACCCAATAAGCTTTCCTTCAGGTCAGGAACTTGTCTGCTGAGTCCGTCCTCCAAGTCAACACATGCCCTTCCTGAACTGCCCTGCAATCCTAGCCTGATGCTTCTTCCGACCTTCAGTTGTCTTCCTAATGTGGGCTCCACAGCCATGGTGGCCTTGTCACCAGGTTCACACGACTATAAACCATCAGACTTCATGAATCTTAGTTCCTCAAAAATCTGTTAATTGAGGAAACTGGTTGATGTAGAGGTTTTATTAACAATTGATGCTTTTTGTCTCTCTGTAACCATTTAACAGTCACATTTTGAGGGCTGTGTTTTGAAAACAAAGTACCCCAACCCAGCATGTCCAAAGGGATATCACAGAAGATGTTCCAAAAAAGAGGAATCTCATTGTCAAATACATTGGAGAAATGCTGTATGTCATATACTCTTCTTGGAAACTCAAAGTACATGTTAATATAATAAATAGATTCTATTGTTAGCTTTAGTTCTATTCCCTGGTATGTTATAAAACCCTGCTCATTAACACTTCTCCAGTATTTGAGGTTAGCAGAGTCTAATAGAAAAGCATGGTTTTTAGAATCAGATAGACTTTGCTTTGGTGTAAGACTCTAGACTTTCTAGCTCAGTGACCTTGAAGCTACATTACCTCTCTCAGCCTCAATTTCCTAATTTTTGTATGCTCCACAAAGGTTATGAAACTTGATAAAAGTACCAAAATATCCACAGAGCAGGGCAGCCAGGAAAAAGGCTCTCGGTAACATTTAGCATAATGCTTCAGGAATTTAAAATGGGAAAGGCTTCATGGAAGAGGCATTTGAATTGGCCTTGAAGGATGGTAGGCATCGACTGAATAGAAATTAGGTGGGTAGTTGGTTATTCCAGGCAGAGTGGACAATTCCGTCCTAATATATTGAATGGTTATAAAATAAACCAACTAGGCTTCTTACTGCATAAAATAGGTTACAGGATACATCATTTTTAACCATGGTTTGTAAAATTTCTTCAAGCCTCTAAAAATGCAAATCAAGTAGAAATGGCTCCCTTACATATTTTCTGACTTAAGAGTATGATTGCGGGGGGCGGGGGGGAGATTCTATTCCTGCTAATATTGTAGCTGTCATTATAACATGGCACAAAGAGGTGTTAACCTGAGAAAAGGTGCCTTGACAATAAAACTGAGAACACTAAGCCTATCCATGCCAAATCATCTCAAGAGACAGAATTGGCTTCTGGAAGCCCTCATGGCACCTGTGAATTGTCGGCCACGCTTTGTCTTTACTGTTGGCAGAAGAAAGAACACCTTGATACAGGGTGTCTTCTGAAAAAGCAGGAGAAAGTGGTCATCTTTGAAGGTAAAATATAAGCCTTAGTCTAAAAATAAGTATTTTTCTATTTAACTACACTTTAAGAGGAAATGGGGTCCACTTTTTAAAGTGTCCAAATTTAAACATTTTCCATGCATAAGGATGACACTTTATGTAACATTTATGATGCGTTCTAAAAGACATCTGTGCCAAGTAATAAGAATCCTGTAGATACATCACATTTTCTGATTGTTTAAATTACATATGCAGAGAAACAGTAGATTTTCATGCTCTGCACATCTGAGATAAGAGGCTGCTACCTGGTTAGCTTAGGAGCTGTAAATCAATGAGAAATTCCAAGTATTCTGTCTGTTTTGCAAAAGACAAATTATCCCCAACTTCCAACCACTTTTGGAAGAAAGATAAGAGAACTGCTTGAAGGGAAAATTGTAACATGCAAGATTCCCATTTAAGTAGTTTCTCCTGGGGAAAAAATATCTTCAATAATGTTATATTAATAAGGACTNTGACTTAAGAGTATGATTGCGGGGGGCGGGGGGGGAGATTCTATTCCTGCTAATATTGTAGCTGCCATTATAACATGGCACAAAGAGGTGTTAACCTGAGAAAAGGTGGCTTGACAATAAAACTGAGAACACTAAGCCTATCCATGCCAAATCATCTCAAGAGACAGAATTGGCTTCTGGAAGCCCTCATGGCACCTGTGAATTGTCGGCCACGCTTTGTCTTTATTGTTGGCAGAAGAAAGAACACCTTGATACAGGGTGTCTTCTGAAAAAGCAGGAGAAAGTGGTCATCTTTGAAGGTAAAATATAAGCCTTAGTCTAAAAATAAGTATTTTTCTATTTAACTACACTTTAAGAGGAAATGGGGTCCACTTTTTAAAGTGTCCAAATTTAAACATTTTCCATGCATAAGGATGACACTTTATGTAACATTTATGATGCGTTCTAAAAGACATCTGTGCCAAGTAATAAGAATCCTGTAGATACATCACATTTTCTGATTGTTTAAATTACATATGCAGAGAAACAGTAGATTTTCATGCTCTGCACATCTGAGATAAGAGGCTGCTACCTGGTTAGCTTAGGGAGCTGTAAATCAATGAGAAATTCCAAGTATTCTGTCTGTTTTGCAAAAGACAAATTATCCCCAACTTCCAACCACTTTTGGAAGAAAGATAAGAGAACTGCTTGAAGGGAAAATTGTAACATGCAAGATTCCCATTTAAGTAGTTTCTACTGGGGAAAAAATATCTTCAATAATGTTATATTAATAAGGACTGATGAAATAAATTACTTGGGGATTCTCCCCTTCTCTTCAGTATTAGCAAAATTGTTTTGCTCCATTCTACAATTTTTAGACTGGTGATTCTTTTACTTTATAGAATATCAATCGGTGATAATCATTAGGTAATTGAAAAGGGTTAAATTTAAGAGGAATCAACCTGCTTCTAAAGATTGACACAAAAATGGCCGCTCTCAGAGTAACAAAGACATATCTTGGTCACTGAAATAAATTTTAAGTGTGAGGGTAATATGAAAGATTGTATTTATTTGGAAAACCTCTTAGATAAGAGACATGAAGGAAATGATAGACATGATGCAGAATATAAAGAATCAAGTTATTTCAATGAGAATAATCATTGCATTGATTAAAATAATTAAAATGTTATTTTATATACTCATGTATATACAAATCTCTCAAGGTTACATGATTAAACTCAGGAAATAGTTACACTAAGATTCCATTAAAGTAAGATAAGAAGTGGGACCTCTGAGCCTAAAAATACCTTTCTTATTGTTGTTTTTGGAGGGGGAAAAA